AGTTTGAGAGTCTGTATTAAAGGTGAATGTTTATAAGTGGTACACTTGTTGGTCTTTCCCTAGAATGAAAAATAAAATTCTTTTCCCAGTCTAGTGCACGTGTGAAGTTATCCTGTGGGCTCATCTACAACAGAAGTGATATTAAAGAGTATGTTTGTTCCAGTTACAGTGGCTCAAGCCTGTAACCCTAATTATATGGAGGGCTGAGATAAGGATGATTGCAGTTCAAACACAACCTTGGCAAAAACAAACAAAAACCCAACAACTCTCACCCAAGCCCCAAACCAAAATACCTACAAACAAACAAATAAAAAAGACTTTGTGAGATGCCCCTCTCAAGAGAAAAATCATGGTGTGGTAGCAGGTGTCTGTCATCCCAGTTTTGGAGGAAAACATAAAAAGATCACAGGTGAGGCCAGCCTAGGCAAAAAGTGAGAACTTGTCTGAAAAATATCAGAGCACAAAAAGCTGTAACATGGCTCAACTGAAACGCCTGCCCAAAGAAAGAGCAAGTCCCTGAGTTAAAATTCCAGTACTGTCCAGAAAAAGAATATGTTGTCCCTTAAAGATTAAAGACATATTAGGCAAAATATCCTGAGGTGAGATGTGAAGGTAGAAAAAAACCAAAATAATTTCTTTAATGAAGATTTTTTTTTTTTTCGGTTGGTCGTGGAGCCTGAACTCGGCCTGGGCTCTGTCCTTCAGCTCTTCAGCTCAAGGCTAGCGCTCTATCACTTGAGCCACAGTACCACTTCTGGTTTTTTCTACTTATGTGGTGCTGAGGAATCCAACCCAGGGCCTCATGCACGCGAGGCAAGCACTCTACCACTGAGCCACTTTCCCAGCCCTGAAGATTTATTTTTGATGTGCTAACTTAATTACACTTGATTGCATTTCCAACATGTAATAGAAGTGGCTCTTAGTTTTGACACTTACCTAATTCTTGCTTTTAAAAAAGTACTCCTATATTCTTGTTTATAAACATTGGGAACCACAAATAACTTGTCCACATTATTGTGTCCACATTATTGCACCTCAAACAACTTCATTTAACTGTCAGTGATGTATTTAATTAATTATTGATACTATTAAGTAGTTGTACAAAGGGGTTACAATTTCATAAGTCAAGATTATGAGTACAATGCATCTTGGTCAATGTCTCTCCTTCCTTGGTTTCCTCCTCTTTTCTCCTTATCATGTGATATATTTTAAACAAAATTAGCATCTAAGTTAAGCATCTTGGTGGGTATTGACATGTGCTGCCAATTCTCTCAGTGAGATCTGAGGCTCATGGTTGGAAGCCCCCTGGGGCAGAAAAGTCCCTGTGAGACTCTTATCTCCAGTTAACCACTCAAATATCAGAAGTGGAGCTGTGGCTTAAAGTGGTGGAGCAAAGGAGCTCAGGGATAGCACCCAGGCCCTGAGTTTAAGTTCAAAAAATAAAAAAGTCCACCAGATAAAGAAACTAAAACACAGAATGGCTTTCCAAAGGTATATTAGCCAATATGGAGCGAGCTTGAGACCAAATCTAAGCTGTCCTACTACTTCAGTATTATTTATTGGAAAATATGCCTAACATATAGCTGTCCAATTTTAACCACTTCAAGGTGTAGAATTCAGTGAGTTTATTCCAGCCTAAAGTTATGTAACCTCAACACTGATACTGTCAACTTCCAGAACATTTTAGCCCCCCCCCAAAGAAAACCTGGATCCATTACACAGTCATTTCCTCCTTCCCAGCTCTAAGCAATGATTATGTCTCTATTAATTTTTTAGCTTCAAAATCCTATTTTTTCATAAATAGCCTCAAACATAATGTGGCCTTCCCAATTTCCTTGATTTAGAACAATGTTTTGAGGTTCCTAGTTGTTCAAGCGCGTGTCAGTAATTCATGACATTTTTAAAGACAAGTCACAGCTCATTGTGAGGGCATTCCAAATTTGCTTATATCACAATTACAGAACATATAACAAATTTTATTGTAAATAGTGCTGTTATGAATGTTCAGTTATTTTTTGAACACTGAATCTCTTGAAATATAACCATGATTGGAATTGCTGATGAATATGATCATTTTATGTTGAACCTATCTGAGAAGCCACTAGCTGTTTTCTACCATGGCTGAACGAGTTCACATTCTCAAAAGCAATGTGTAAATATTCTAATTTCTTCATCTACTTGCAATATTAATTTTTCTGTTTTTAAAACTGTAGCCAACCCAGTGAATATAAAGAGGTAACTCATTAAATATTTTTAATTTGCATTTCCTTAATGATTACTAATACTGAGCATCCTTTCATATGCCTGTTGACCATTTGTAATTTATGTATTTCTTTTGGAGAAATGTTATCTAGACTATTGCCTGGTTTTATTTATTTTTTAAATCCTTTGTTGAGTTGTAAGAATGTTTTCTTTTTATATGATCTGGATAAAAGATCCTTACTGGATATATGGTTCGCTTATATTTTGTCTCATTCTGAGGTGATTTTTTTGACTTTTCTGCTACTATACAATGATGCACAAAAAATTCAATTTTATAATTTTAATTTAATAATATATTTCTTGTGTTGTTTGTTCTAAACCTATGCTAACTAATCAAGATTTATTCTGTTATTTTCTTCTATGAGGCTTGTCTCCTAAATTTAGATTTTTGTTTCATTTTGAAAGTTTTTGCATATGGTATGGGGTAGACGTTCAACTTTGTTTCTTTGTGTATGGATATCTAGTATTCTAGAAGAATTTGTTGAAAAGAATTTGGTTACCCCATAGAGTGTTATAGGCACCTTAGTCAAAATGCAATTGACCAGACATTAGTGTATTTTGGGGTTCTTAATTGTTTTCCATGTAATTGTAATTTGTAATTCCTATGTAATTATCTTTACTTTAATGTTCCTATCTAATTGTCTAATTGCTGTAACTTTTTGGTAAGTTTGAAAATGGAAAAATTTGAGTCTTTCACATGTATTCCTTCCCAAGATTACTTTGACTATTGGACCCTTCTCATTTCCACAGTTTTAGAATCCGCTGTTCCATTCCTGTTAAAAAGGCCATTGATTGCATAGAATTTATAGATAGTTTTGGGGAGTTTTCTTTTCTTAATATCAATGTTATACAACTTTTGAATGTGTCTTTCCATTTGTTTTTAGTTCTTTTGAAATTTCTATCAGCAGTGTTTTGTGGTTTCTGACATTCTTATCTTTGATGTCCTTGATTGCATTTTCCTAGATATTTTATTTAGGAAATGATATTGCACATGGATTTGTTTTGTTAATTTTTATTACTAATATGTAGAAATCATCACTATTTTTTGGTGTCAATTTTGTATACTGACACTTTGCTGAATTCTTTTATTACCTTCAATAGTTTTTCTTTCTGTATGCTTTATGATAGTTTCTATATAAGAGGATGTCATGTATAAATAGAGATTATTTTTGTGTGTTCTTTTGTTTACAACTTCAATGCCTATATATATATTTTTTGACCACGTTCCCTGATTATGATTCCTTTAGTTTATTGAATAGATTCCTTGGAAGTAAACATGCTTGTCTTATTTCTGATCTTAGTGAGAAAGTTTTCAGTTTTTCATTATTGAGTATAATATTCACTGTGTTTTAAAGAAATTCCATTACTATGTGAAAGAGTTTCCTTCTGTTTCAAGTTTTCTGAGTATTTTTATTATAAGTGAGTTTTCCATACCAATTGATTATACCCTCCGTTTGAAACCCTAACCACTAGGAAAAATTCCTTTCTCTTTCTCTGAATTATTTAATTTTATAATCTGTCTTTTGCATTATGACATAAAATAATATTTTGATTAAGGACTATTAAAATTACAACTTCCAGTGGCTATATGTGGTTTTTCTCATATGAATTTTTCATAACTTATTTAATACATTTATATTTCAGAATTTTAATATTTTATTCATATCTATTTTTTCAGAACTAAGGTCACAGGACTGGAATACTAGGATCACTTTGAAGTTATAATATATTCATATAATTTCTAAAGAATTTGTAAAAATAAATAGTAAAAATAGTTGTGTTCTGAGTTTAGTGCTGTATAACACTCAGGACCTCTGAGTCTTCTTACTAATTATATCTGCCATTCTCTAGTCTTTGCTGTTATTAAGCAAATCACTTTCTTTTCAATAATTTTTCTTCATCTTGGTCTTTATTCTACCCACCATCGTTAAGCATTTTAATCTTTTTGTCTATTTAGTCTCTGATTTTAATGACTAAACCAACAGATGTCAATGCAGGAAATACTACTAATTTTTCCTGTAAAAGTATTAATCAAGCCATTTATAGTAAAACCTACTAGTGAAGCTATAAATAAACCCTAAATATTAGGCTTTATATAAATATAGGCTTTACATTGGGAACAGAAGGAATCTACAATCTGGTCAGCTTTGTTTTTTAGCTTTACCAATATTCATTTGTGTGTTCCAGTGTGCATCAAAAATATTATCTAGAAAAATAGGCACGATGAAAAAATTGAATTCACATGTAATATGAAACTAGAAATATTTATTTCAGAAAACACCGAAACAAAGAATTTCTATGCCTATTACTTTTTGCATTGGATTAGATTTTCAAAATCACTTGTTTCAAACCTGCGTATGGACATCAAACATACAGGCCTTTATCTACAAATACACTTAATTAGCATCATCATGTAACATTTGACTAAAAAGCTTGACAGCATCCTAAAAGCAAGTGAACTGAAAAAAGATCAAAGTCTATACAAGTGAAGGTGCTCTTTAGAAGACTTGAAGTTATCTTTGATTTACTTAATTGCTGTAAAAAAGAACTACAACTCCCAGTGTGCTTGGGAGCAAACACGCTTGCCGCGGCAAAGAGACTTGCAGTGTTAGTCCCACCTCTTCCCTCCCTTTATTGGGTGTTGCACTTCCGCATGTCTGAAATTCTCTTCTCCTATTGGCTTATACCCGAGGGGCGTCAAATACGGAATTTACGTTCGCCTGGTTCTGTCAAGCCCGGCGGCTCTTCACCACCCGTACCAAGATGGCGGCAGAAGCAGCTGGTGGGAAATACAGGAGCACAGTCAGCAAAAGCAAAGACCCTTCGGGGCTGCTCATCTCAGTGATCAGGTGAGGGAGGCAGGAGGCAGGGTCAGGGGTCAGGGGACAGCGGCTCGACCTCCGGTTTAGAAGGGAGAAGGGAGCCGGGGTCCACCCTGCCGACCCTTCTGTGCGCTCCTGGCCTCCCCAGCTCCTCCCAGGGCCCGTGGTTACCCGTGCTGGGGCCTCAGCCCCTCCATCACCCCCCCCCCCCCCCCACACACACACCCGTTTTACTTTTTTACCTCCGACGTTGGGCTTTAGCGGGAGGAGCCGCGCCTCAAGGTCTCTTCTGTAGGAGCAGAGAGCTTTTTAGGGTCCCAGGGCCTGGCAGAGGAAGGCTGGGGAAGGCATGGTCAACGAGGACACACGTGTATGCACACATTGGTGGATTGATGGCACCAGGGAAGGAGTCCCGTTTCCCAGTCCAGAGGGACTTCCAGAAGTTTGGGCATTTCCTGTCACGAGTTTCAGGGTGTCCCAACTCCGGACACTCTTCCCCACCCGTGAATGGCCACGGCCTCCAGTTCAAGGATCTGCAGTGAGCTGGTTACCACTGTGGGTTTTGAAGGCTCACATTCGTTTCTGATTTTCGTTCTGTTGTTTGCTGCCTTCCTAGTCCTTAAAAACCAAACAGCTTTCAAATTCTCTATGCATGGAACAGTAAAGTGTGAGTGGAGTGGTGGACCTTCAAGGAATCTTTTTGTTGTTGTTGTTGTTTATAAAGTGAAATAAATTGAGCACCGGTAAAGATGATATAGGAATAACTAAAAACAACTTGAATGAAATGTATATTACAGGAATAACTAAAAACAACTTGAATGAAATGTTATTTATGACACATTTCACATTGTTGGCAATGGAATTTCAACTCGTTTTTTTTTTTTTTAATTTGAGGGGGGAGTTGGGTGAAAAGTACACCTCATCTTATCTTCCCCTCAACCTCTGCTCAACTTTTGTTTGGGTTCTTAAAGGGATCCTGTCCAGTCCTGATTATTTCTTTAAAACCCAGGGCCCAACAGCATCTGGTAGGTAGTAAGCATTTGCATGTATGAGTATCTCAAAGGTAAAACAACTTATCCATCCTGGACTGATAAAAGAACCATCCTGTGGATCTTTCTTAAGGGACTGTAGTTTAAAAGTATGGCCTGTTAAATCATTATTTTTAATTGTCTTTTACAAGTAATAATAGTTTTATGGAAACAATATACTTGGTAGGCCTTGCAGAAGAAATGGTGGTGTGCAACTTCAAGCCCACATTCTTAATTGACAGTACATAGCTAGTATAGATAGATCTCATGGTACTTAAACTTCAGCCAGAGTATTTGTAGTTTTCCACCTTAATCCTCTGTAGAATTATAGTACATGTTTTTGTTTGTATTCTTCTATGGACGTGTTCATTTTTTTTCCTGCCTTATCGTTAACATTTACTTAAATAATAGGTTTGCAGTGCTAGTTTGTAGTATGGTGCCTGGCACTTATACTATGTACATCCTTAGTAAATGTTGAGTGAATAGATGGAATGCTTTGAGTTTTGCAGAGACAAAATATACTCTTGAGGAGAGTATATTTTACTTGGAAATAAAATATGTATAAAATTATGGTGTAAGACTGTCATGAAGAAATGATAGACTTTTTCCAGTTTTTGGGGGAAAGTATTAGGGTTTTGAATTCAAGGCTTAAGTCTTCCTGCTTAAGCTAGGGCTTCCCCCTGACCTTTTTCATTTCTATTGTGCTATGTCTGTTTTCTTCAGTGCTAGTTAACTTAGCCCAAATAAATGTCTCATCTTGGAAAAAACCTGGAAACCACTGTAAAACGTTTTGACTGATACGGATTCAGAGATATGCATTGCCTTTGGTGGACCATTCATTTGTGTTCTTCAGGGGGTATCTCTTATTGCTGAATGGTGCATACCATGATTTTGTGGTTATCCATCCGTTTCTTACGCTAATCAGTATTACCTTCACTGTATCACCATCATTTTGGCCTAGGAATTTTACTTGGACTTTTGTTATGTATCATTTTAATTTTTTTCTTCCTTAACTTTTACTATTCTAAACATGTAACTAAAATCTTTATTTTATCATACTTGTTACAAGCTTGGCATTAGGGAATATTCAGACCTAGATTCAGGGCAAGTTTAGTAAAGATTGGTTACAAATGAACACAGTCTGATACTCTCAAAGCTGTAGAGTAGGTGTTTGTCTTTTACCTTTATTTATTTATTTTTTGAGTCATTGAAAAGTTTTGTCTGGAATGAGGATGTTGCCAATGCAATTTCCTTGTTTCCTTCTGGGTTCGCTTTTGCGAACCCGCTTTTGTGTCAGTGAACAAGATTGATAGTATGACTTTATCCTTTGAGAGATGGGGTGAAGGGAAGGTCCTGCTTGGAAGAATGGAACTCCAAAATGTATATTTCTTTTCTTTAAAATTTTATTGTAAAGATTCTGTACAGAGGGGTTCCAGTTATATGGGTAAGGTAATGAGTACATCTCTTGTCAAACATTGTTACCCACTCCTTTGTTTTTCTCCTACTCTTCCTCTCCCAAAAATGTATATTTCTTTTTAGGAAACTGTGTTAGCATTCTGAAGTTGCTCCTCTGTGCATCTATTCAACTTGTATCCTTTGTGTTTCACATTTTATGGCATCATATTAATTATTTCTAGTTTTGTATACTCTGATTACCTCCTTCTGTGCTTAAATCTTTAAGTTCTGTCAAATACTAACTTTCCTGGTTGCTTTGGCCACAATCCTCAAAAAGTAAAACTTGTAGTAGGTTTATAATGTCTGAATATTCTAGAAGATGCCCCTGGTACATGTCAGTTCTCTTTCACATTTCCATGAGCCTGTTATTGTCACAAAATATAGTGCTTCTTAGAATACAGTGTATTTAAAAATGATCAGTTTAGGTTTATTATTTTTATTTATTATTTTTGTTTGAGACCAAGACAAGTATCTGATGCTTGTCTTTGCCTGTTAAATGGCACTCTATGACCAGAGCTAGGCCTCCAACCCCTAGCTTTATGTTTTTTGTGTCCCTGAGCAATTGTTGTTTTGAATAATATTAAACGTCACCCTTCAGTTATGTTGCACAAATATGTAAAAAGATGTCATTTTTATACTACTTTATGTATTATAACATACTACTTTTTTATTTGCTTTAACGATCCTGGTTCACACTTGATAAGCATGTACACCCCTGCTGGAAACCATACTTCTAGCTCTTCTACTCTGGTTATTTTTGAGACCATGTCTTTCTTTTTGCCCTGGCAGTGAGAACCATGAATGTCCTACTTAGATTTCTTGCGGTAGCTGAATGACAGCTATGCACTACTGTGATCAGGTATTTTTGTTAAGTTGGGAATCTTAGAACTTTTTTGCCTGGGATAGCCTGGAACTATGCTCCAAATCGTAGCCTCTGGTAATTCAGATATATTTTATACTGCTTTAAAAGTGTTTTTCCTAATAGTTGGCAACAGCACTTGCAGACATCTTCTAATATTGGATTAGACAAATCTACAGATAGACTAAGTTTATTTTAAGGACAGAATAGATATAGACAAAGGGAAAGAATATCCAAGTCTCATTGCTGTGTCTCATCATGGTATTAAATTATTAAATGATGACTCTATTTTTTGCTAATATAAGAGTTCATTACCTTTGTGTGCTGTTACTGGGACTTGAACTCAGGGCCTACATGTGGTCCCTTAGCTTTCTGGTTAAGCTTTTTGCTCTGTCATATGAGCCACACCTCCATTTCCAGCGTTTTGGTGGTTAATTGAAGCTAAGAGTCTCATGGACTTTTCTGGGGCTGGCTTCAAATCATGACCTTCAGATCTCATCCTCTTGAGTATCTAAAATTATAGGCATGAGTCACCAGTGCTCTGCTCATAGTTCATTATGTTAACGTATTTATAAGCCAACATTTATCAGTGGGGAGGCTGCGATTGGGATTCACAGCATATTGCTAGCATGAGCAGAAAAGTTTGTAAGATCCTTTCTCAGTGGATAGCTGGGTATAATGATGTGGGCCTGCCATCCTAGCTATGATGGAAAGCCTAAAATAAGTGACTGAGACCTAGGTTTGCACCTGGGCACGGAGAGAGTCTCTTGTCTCAAAAACAATTGGCACAGAAAAGGATGGAGATATGGCTCAGCATATCAAACTTAGAATGTTTGCTTGACAAGTGAGAGACCTTGAATTTAAGTCCAAGTCCTGAAAAGAAAAAGTCAGAATTATTTGGTATAACTTCATGAATTACGTTTGCTAGTCACTGTCCCTCAGCTCTTCAACTCAAGGCTAGCACTCTGCCACAGCGCCACTTCTGGTTTTCTGATGGTTTATTGGAGATAAGAGTCTCCCAGATTTTCCTGCCCAGGCTAACTTTGAACTGTGATCCTCAGATCTCAGCCTCCTTTATAGCTAGGATTACAGGAGTAAGCCACTGGCGCTATTTTTTTTTAAAGCTAAGTTTATTCTTTATTAAGTATGTTGGCAAAGAATTTCACTCGATAGATGTTTTGAAAGTACATTGAGACTCAAAAAAATTGTAATCATTTAAGAAATGCTGTGTAAGAGTATTTCAAGCGAGTTGGTTGTTTCATAGGTAGACTCCGAAGGTTTTACAGAAGTCTTTAGATTTGTGTGAAAGGCTCTGATGAGGAAGCAAGTGCTGGTTGGGTTATAGTCTGCAAGAGGCTACTGCTGTCACCTTTTAAGTTTGGCGGCTAGACCTTTAAAACAGCTCTGTGTGGACAGACTCTTGATCACTTGTTGATGTACACTTTGGCCAGTTTTACACATACACACACATGCACATTTTTCATTTTCCTTCAATTGATCTAACCACCACCAATCTTTTGTTTGGAAATAAGCAAGTGACATTTTCGAGAGGTTATTTTTTTTTGTGAGTTCTTGTCAGATTTTTAATTGGGAAACAAGTCTACCACTTACTGTTAGGTGATCTGCTTTCCAATTAAATGTTGTCTTTCTCTCCTTTGTAAGTTGGCCTGTAATAGCCAGTTTAA